CCAAGAGGGTGGGAGATTTGAAGCTTTTAGAATTTATTTATCCCTAGCCTGCATGGCAGGCGGTATTTCTACGGGCAGCGAAAATTAGGGAAGCAAAGGAAATACCGTCTGCCGCAAAACTAGGGGTTTTTGAATTACCCGTCCGCTGGTGAACGGGAAAAACGGATTGGTTAGTATTTTTATGTAGTTGTCAATCAGCGGCTAAATTCGCTTAAATGTTAATCATTAACCAAATGTTTTGACGTTTTGAAACTCTGCCACAGAATAAGGACCTCTGCGTTTTGAATTAGTTCACGTCAAGTCAGACCAGAAATGGAATAACTTAATAAAAGAAGCAAATTAAAAGATACAAGCTGAAAAATAACACTCTAAGTAGTGTTTTTGATAGAGATTCGAACAAGAATATTTAACAAAGAAGATACGTCCGAAGGGGCCGAAGTTATGATCGGCGAAAGGTATGGGCTAGTCTATATTTTCGTTCAGACAATTACATACGTATTAATTTGATAATATACTATCTCGCTTGACTTTCAAAGGCCATAAAATAATTAAATCGCAATAATGTTGACATTTTACTAAAACTATCGATAGAAATTAGGAGATATTTCTTCACTGAATCGAACAGTGGGATTTTCATATAGGAATAGGCCTATCATGTTCTGAACCAAAGATACTTGATAGATATTATATACGAACCTCCAAAGTATAAACAAGGGGCCGGTTGATGCAGTAATTATCAAATAACTGTTAATTAAACTCTTATATACCCGTTGAATATGTATAGTTGTAAACAAATAAAAACTATCGTTCTATAAGGTTCAATACTTTCAGTTTGGTTGTTGACTGATGATGAATCTATAGTATAGACTCAGTATAGACTTGCATGCTTTGTATTTTGAGCTTATTAAACTACCGTTTTAAGGCAGCTAAACGAGCTTGGTTTATATTACTACACATAAAATAAATTCTTTGATTCTCATCACTAGACACAGTCTACACTTTGAAATGCCGAAGACAGTGGGAGATTTATTTTTTATATTTTATATTTATATAATTTATATATCAATAGTTCGTATCTCCACGAACAATGACAGAATGACTGAGTTTCTTTAAAATACAAAGAAATTTCATTCAAAATTCTGTTTGTTTCAAATTGGAAGTTTAAAATGGCAATAAAAACTCTACATAAAATATAAAAAAATTAACTGTCTTGAATTATTTTGTCGGGCGGTACATTTATATTGTATAACGAATTATAATATAGCATTTGTAAATTCTGAACGCTGATTGGCTAAGAGCCGTGTTGATATAACTCCATGTCAACACGGGAAATTTTCCGCCGCTTGTAACACGGAAATTGTTCTTATTCTTCGTGCTTTTGACATTGCTATATTATAAAACAAATATAAAACATTTTTTCCGTATTGATATTTAGTTATATCAACACTCGTGGAAGTTGGGAAAACTCGAAATTGTGTGAAAACACTCCGCCCTTCGGGCGTCGTGTTTCCACACAATTTCTCGTTTTCCCAATTTCCACTCGTGTTGATATAACTGTATATTAACACGGAAAATGTTTTATATTTGTTAAATATAAAACGTTTTCACGAGGATTTTAAAATTCAGTCAGGCGGTAATGAGAATCAAGGAATTTATTTTATGTTGGGCAGTTGGGACTTGGGAGTGGCTAATTTTGAATATTAGAGAGTTTGAGCAAGACAACGAAGTCGGACGACGACGACGTGGTTGACAATTTTTGCCTGTCTTGCACATTACCTTGCACATTCTGAGTTTAGGGTCAGGAGTGAAGACAGATTAGAGATTTATGCCTAGCTGTTTGTGAATGGTGACCCAAATCCTTACCCTGATCAGGATAAAACAGCGAGACATGAATCCATATCCCGTCTTCGTCTTCTGCCTTCGTTCACAACGAATACTTTCGCAAATTTCGTTGTGAAACTCGTTCTGCACGAAGGCAGAAGGACAAAGACGGGATATAGTTTCATGTCTCGCTGTTTTTTTTCTGGATCAGGGCAAGACTTATGGTCAGTATTCATAAACAGCGACACATGGGAAGATACGTTGTGCAACCACCAGTGACGTCCAACTCGGTATGCGCAAGATAATGGACATACGGCAAAAATTGTCAAGTATGCCTTCGTCTTCGTACTTCGTTGTCTTGCTCAAACTCTCTAATTACTTAATTAATGCATCTATAAATAGCGTTGATGCTTCAGGGGCGGTAGTTCATTTACACCCAGTTTTGCGGCAGGCGGTATTTCCTACGTACCGCCTGCCATGCAGGCTAATTTATCCCCAGGGTATGGGGATTAGGTAGGGATTAGTATTGAGCCAGTTGTCGATTTTTCAGCGGTTGTTCATCACAAGTGGCGTTTTATCATCTAGCGCTTATTATCTTTGCTTTGTGTGCTTTTGAACATTTGCAGGTACTATTGTTCCCAGTAAACTGCCGTTTCTTTAGGCAGTTTGTCAGTGACAGTTTTGTCAATTACGGTGGACATATTTGTGTACCTCGTGATCACAATTCGTTGCAAGCGGCGTGTGAAAAACTGCAAGTTTCAGTTTGACAGTTCTGGCAGATAAATGGTTTCTAATTTTATTGTCCAATTAGGTGCGTAGTTTTGATTTAAAGTTCAAAACTACGCATCTGATTGGACAATAAAATTAGAAACTCATTTAACTGTACTGTCAGAACTGTCAAACTGAAACTTGCAGTTTTTCACTAGCCGCTTGCAACGAATTGTGATCACGAGGTACACAAATATGTCCTTCGTAAAAATTATCGGTCGTTTCGCAGTATATGTAGATTTTATTTAAATCGCTAAACTTGTAATGCAGATTATGACCATCTGTTCTTTAAAATATAAACCATGAGGATAAGGAATATCTTAAATAAATTATAAATAAAGGATAAGGAGTCTTAAATCAATTATAAATAATCAATATTTTGCAAGCTATCCATCTCAAGAATGCAATCTATAGCAGTTCATTGCAGTCCATACATAATTATTTGAAACGTATTAAGGCTACAAAAAAAAAATAGTTGGTTAGCGTCCCTGCCCGCCCACAAAAAAGGCCCCGCTCAGGATTTTTTTTATTTTTTATTTAAAAAAACCCCGACTTTTATTGATCAACGGGCTCTAATATATGTAGTATTTCTGTTGACTGTAGTCAATTGTGTTAATAATTTGCGAAATTGCGTGCGAAAATGACAGTATAAAAAAAATATCTGTACTGCGCAAGAAAAACCAGTTTCGGACCTAACAGTGAGTAAAACCAAGGCGTTAAAAATAGTAAAAATTAAAAGAAAAGCGCCCGCCCGCCCACTTTTTGACAAAAGCTAAGGACGGTAACCAACTATTTTTTATATGGCCTAAACTGTATTAACAGTATTTAATTAAGAAGTCTTCAAAAACTCATTAATAATTCATGAAGCAATTATCCAATCTTGAGTAAGAAATTAGTCACGTGCATACGTCTTTATACCAGCTAAAGAACACTTTAACAAACGACCATTGTTATGCAAACTATATAAAGATTTTTATATAAAGATTTTTATATAAAGATTTTTATATAAAGATTTGACTTATTATGCAAACGTTTTTGAAGCCATTTAAAAAACTCGCAGGTTGTGTTTTATTAGGTCTAAAGCAACTCGCGCTGCGCGCTCGTGGCTTTAAACCTAATAAAACACTCCAGGGGCGGATCTAGGGGTCGTCAAACCAGTCACGCGACTAACGTAAAAATTGCAAATTTAAAGTCTTAAATATTCGACCAATAGTCCAGTTATTTTTTATCATGCAGCGACACCTTATCATAGTCCAGTATCTATTATAGCAATTAACATTCCAATCGAACTGTAGTCCAGTGATCAAATTTCATACAGTGGCTGAGCCGACGAGCTCAGTCAAGTCAATGAGCAGCTGACATACGCAAAGTCGGTCAGTCGAAAAGTCGAAATCCAGTGTTCTGATTGGTCTAGACGCTTATTGCCATGGAAACAAGCGATTTTTTACGATTTTGACTGATCTGTGGGGAGTTCTGACCGATTTACAAAAGTCGGGGGCACCCCATTAGTTGGAATCTCATTAATATTTGACGCGTGCTAAAGTTTTTCCGAGCGCGCGCTCATTCGAAGTGTCATGTTGGAGCTCTACGGAAAATTCGGAAATGTCTGCTGCTCCAGTCCTTGTAGTATTCGCGAATTGGTTCAATCCGCATTTGCGGTGAATGATTTAGCTGTCTTACAAGACTGTTGCGCTGATCTTGGGAGGAAAATCGACGCTAAATATCGGAGAGTTCGATTCAGTGAGCAGTTTCTAGGCGCCACGAGTAGCACCAACTACAGTTTGACTGTTTGAGTAGAAGTATTGGCGCCGAGATCTTTATTCTGAAGTGCAATAAGGTAAATTTAATGTAATATGTAAATTTTATTTCGTTTTAGACGGCATAACAATATTTATAAGCGAACAAGATGCGCGCCATACATACTGTATGTTAAATTGTAACTTGAATACGCGTACCTTGATTTAGATTTAGCTATGAGTTTTGATTTACACAACAAATTTGCATATTTCTAATTCTGCGGTTGAAGGACCGTCAGAACTCAGAGTCAGAAGGCTATTAATATGGAGGATAACCTATATAAGTGTATTAATGCAGTACACATAGGATATATAGGGTCAGGTTTTATACATGAATGTTAAGACTTTAATATTGATATATGTTTATTTGAGTAATATGACACTGTAGTGATTACTAGTCAAGTGATCAATAACTCAGGCTAGCTATTAGGGAACAAAAATGAGTGTATTAATTTTTAAACATAATACTAGCAATCCGAAATTTGATGAAATGAAACATCTTCCACAATTATCACATTTTTGGAAGTACTTCTCCTTCACTTTTCCCTAAGGAGCGAGTTGTGAGAGTCAATCAGACTGATAGTTGCTATAATTATCTCCCATTTCATGAAGTTAATTTTTTGTTCAAGCTGCTTTCAGAGTAATGCAAATTGCATTTCTGAGATTTAAAAACATAAAATTTCCTGGAGGACAGACCCCTCTTGGTGCCTCGCGCATTCGCCGGTCGCAAAACTACATTGTACATCCGAAAACTTTGACTAACGTACGAAAATTCCTGGATCCGCCCCTGAAACACTCCTGCTTGTTTTTTAAATAGTACTTCAAAAACTCATTAATAATTCATGAGGAAAACACAAAGAGAAATCATAAGCGTGGCGTGTCTTTATATGTGATAAAACACGCTTCAAATTTCAACTTGTATTTTCTCAGCTAATACAAAGTTATTTTGGAAAATTATTTCGCCAATGCCGTGATCTAACTGAGACGTTTTTGAAGCTGTTTAATAAACTCGTAGTTCGTGTTTTATCACATATAAAACACTTGGCTACGCGTCATGTTTTATATGTGATAAAACACTCCTACTCGTTTATTAAACAGTACTTAATTTCTGGGCGAAGGCCCCAGGTACAGGGGACATTTTTTGACATTCGGAACCTTTGATGCTCCCCATGATGTGGGGCATTTGCGAATATTAGAACAAGGTCAAAGTCAAATCCCCACCCTGGCCCGGGGTGGGCGGGTCGGGGTTTACAATTGACTCATGCATAACGCCCGTATTCTAAAAGCTCACTCACACTCAAAGAGTGGAGGTTCAATCTGAGCTTCTCTTGAGTGTCACTGCTGTTTTTGAATAGCTGGAGGGTGAGTAGTCACATAGTAAAGTATGACACTAACCTTCCAGCTATTTCAAAAACAGCAATGACACTCGAGAGAAGCTCGGATTAAACTTCCATGACTCATTGAGTGTGAGTGAGTTTTTAGAATACGGGCGTAAATGACCAAAATCCTGCACCGTTATCCCGCATAAGTAAATATATGAACTAAGGGTCCAAATTCAAATTTCTATAGTCCTATACTCTCCTAATCCAGAATCAATCGTAACGTCAGATACTTCAATTTTGTGCATACACTATGTTGCTAATTAACAATTATTCGCCGAAGGCGAGGTGAATATCGCTGAATAAAAATCGAGACGAAGTCGAGGTTTTTATTCAGCGATATTCACCGAGCCTGAGGCGAATAATTGTTTTAGTATAATTACAAAGGTGATTATTTGAAAAAAAATAATATAACACATCTCAATCTTTTTTCGTACGGCGGTGACTTTAGCTTTCTATATCCAGGGCCGCTCATATCGCCATCAAGAATGCTTTTTTGTAGTAATTTCCATCACTTTTTCTTATAGAAACGTAGAATTTTGATAAACATTTGTTTATTCCGTCAATATTGATGGCTTCAACTCATTTGTGAATTCTGACTGTCGTTGAAACAAATCTGTTGTAGAAAATACTTTTTTTACAAACGTAAACAAATGTCTAAACTATTGTACGGCAACTTAAATAAAACGGTGTTTTATGCGAAATAGTTTCCCCATCTCGTGGTTTCCCATCTCGAAATACTATTAAGCCAAATTTTGTCACTCCTTTCGTGCTTTTAGGTAAAGTATTTTCTTTAAAATTTAATTTATTTCTTCATCTGTCACTTCGACGAAACCACTCGCCGCCATTTTGAAAAAACCGCTTAGGTGATTATCGCGTAATAATCCGAGGTCGCTTGACCAATCAGCGGCCACAATTTTCGATAATCACCTTTGTAATTATACTAATATATCATAATAACGTGAGCAAATCAATAAAAAAATACTCAATCATTAGCGCCGGTATCAAGCGCACGCCAGACTCGTCCCCAGTCGCTTTAAGAGCGGGCGCGCGGCCAGAAGTGGCCGCATAAAGGCTCACGGGAAGGGCGAAAGAAGAAAATTTAGGGACTGGCAGATTACGGCTAAATTGCAGAATACCCGTCCACTTTTGAAGGTATCCCTTGTTATCATGATGCGATGATACGAAGTGAGAATGATTACGTAATAACTATATGACCGCGCTATTATAAAAGCCTGGGTAACCTATATTATTGCGTGATACGATGATACGATGGTACGAAGTGAAATAGCACGTATACAGTATATGTGTTTGCCTCGTTCTTTGAAAGACATGTATATCTCTTTGTCTCGTTCTTTGGAAACCTTACCCGTGGGCCATATCTAATTATTTA